ACGTTCCCGGTACATCCCCGGTACATTCCCGGTACATCCCCGGTACATCCCCGGTACATCCCCGGCCCGGCCCCGGTACGTTCCCGGTACATCCCGGGCTGCCCCATCCCCGCCCGGCCCGGCCCGCCGCGAAGCCGCGGCGCCCCCTGCCGGCCGCTCTCGCGCTCGCCGGGGATCGCTCGCCGGGGCCGGCCCTGTGTACTCGGCAGGAGCGGGATTCCCGTGGCTCAGCATCGCCCCGGTGTCCTCCCGAGCCGGCACCAAAAGGTGGAATTGGCACAGCCCTGGTACAGCTGGCACGGCCCCCGCACAGCGGGCACGGCCCTGGGCCAGGTACCGGCATGGTTGATGGTTGCCCCACCTCGCTGGCAGCACATCCTGTGTCCCGGTCCGGCTGTGAGGAGCGCACAGGGGGACGCGTTTGTGACATTCCGAGAGCCACAGATGTGACACTGGAGATGCGCGGGAGGAGAGTCCGTGTAGGGGGCCGTGGCAGTGGGTGTGCCAGGGTTGTGGGCTGCCCCGCGGCAGCCCCAGCACGGTGCTGCTCTCGCCACCCGCCTGCCAGGGGAAAGCCGCCGCTCCCGCGGCCTCTCCGGGGTGCCCTGGCGGCGGCCAGGTGGCCGCGGGCCGGCGGGCGCGGCTCGCAGCGTGCCACGAGATGGCACTGCTAGAGTGCACTGCGGGCTGCGAGGGATGGCCTCGGCTCGGGCTGTCCCCTGCCTGCAGTGACATCGTGCACGGGGATCTGTGTATAGGGATTTTCACCCTCTCGCCAACTAAAAATGTTAATTCTGGTAGCGGCTTGTGTAAACTTGCCAGGGGGAACGTTTCTGACTAGCTGATTTATGGGCAGGATGAGTGTGGTCACGTTTGTGTCAATGCGGGGTTTCGGGGCAGGGGGTGAGCCCTACCTGGGGAGGTCACTGATGTGGGGTCAGGTGGTGCCAGCAGTTCACCTGGCACGGCTCTGCCTGGCCCGGCAGTTGTCAGGCCCGGTTTTTCTCTCATTCTGCTTCTGACGCTGTCCCGGCGCAGGACGGGCGGTGCCGTGTGGGGGTCAGCGCTCCAGGTCCCCTCTCTCTGCTTTGCCCCACAGTACGACTACAGCTTCCGGACGGAGCAGAGCGCGGCCGCCCGCCTGCCGCCCAGCCCCACCCGCTGCCCGCCGGTCCCGCCGTCCTGAGGGCCCGGCCGGAGCGGCTGTGCGTGCGTACTACTGAGCGGGACACGGACACGGCGATGGAACCACCCGGCGGGCTCCGTGTCCGGCCTCCGCCACCACCCTGCGCTGCGCCGCCCCTGCACACGCCGCTCCGCCCGGGCACCGCGGCCCTGCCCTCGGCAGCTGCCCCCCGCCCCGCTGCAGACCCCTCTCCACGTGAGTACGGACTGAGCACTGGGAGCCTGAGGCAGCCCCTCGCTCATCCCCACTTGGTAGCCCTGCTGCAGGACAGTCACAGAATCCAGAGCTGTAGCAAACCCCTGCAAACATGGCCAGGAGCTTGCGGAGCATCGAGAAATCCCTGAAAGGAACAATGAAAGGCACGGCTGGGTACTGCCACACGAGCAGCTGTGGAGCTGCTGGGCTCTCCACCCCTTGCAGCAGGAGGCTCCTGCGCCACTCGGTCCAGTGCAGAACTCAGCTGCAGTGAATGCCAAGCCCTCTGCCAAGGTCTGGGCACAGAAGTTCCGCTGTGGCTGGATCAGTCTCAGATCAACTGTGGTCACAGGATTTGCTGTAGGCTGCAGGAGCCACGGCCCCTGGCTCTCCCTGGGCACTGGCAGGGCAGGCAGGGTGCCCAAGGTGCACGCAGGTCCTGACATGAAGCACCTTCGCTTTGCACAGTGTCCATCTGTCCATACGGATCTAGGGCAGCAAGCATCCCGTGTTTCTTCTGGATGGATGCTGGCAGCGACACCCTGGCAGACCCTGTCTGTGGCCCACTGACCCTGGCCAAGCTGCCTGTGGACCTGCTGACAACTGGGATGCCATCACCTGCCTTTCATTGAGACAGCTCTCTAACTGTTCCCATCTAGCTGCTAAAACAAAAGAGATGTGCCTGTTTCCTGGGCATTCATGGGGAAGCACTGAACACTGACGTGGCACAGGATGAGAGTGGGATGCATTAAACCCTGACCTCTGCCTCCCTGTGATCGCTGACCAGGCTTGCTCCCAAGCCAAATGCATGTCTTGGAAAAGTCCATTGCTGTAATAAGTTATTTACAAGTGCCCATCTGACTCTGTGCTGCTCTTTCAAGTCTCTGCTGTAGAACAAAGATACATCATGGCAGCACAATGGCAATTTTGGAGTAAGAGTTAAAATGTACAACTTTTTGTATTGTAAAATACTGATTCCCTGACCCCACTGAAATGCAATTGCCATGGTAACAGTGCTGTTGCTCTCAGCCTGGGTCATACTTGTGCCCTGACCGACTTTGCACTCCCTTGGATTGATCTGGCGTTTGCTAGTTGCACAGAGCAGTAACTAACAGCAGTTTTTGTACTGTCGGCTAATATTTTTTATTTGCGCGTAAGTAAAATAATTCTTGTCCAAAGATTCATTGGTTTTAAGGCACCACACTGTATTGCTGGGATAAAGAGCACAAAATACATTTGGGACAGACTTGAGTCCAGATCTTTGCTTCAGCTTCTTCCAATCAGGTAAATAATTTTCTGGAGCTGCGTCTGCAGAGCGGCCATGTGGTTGGAGAGAGAGGCCAGTTTGGTAGCATGTACATTGTTTTTGGGCAAAAGAGTTAAAGCTGTGCACCAGCTCTGGAGCCCTTGGGTGACCCCCTGGAAATGCTCGTTTACTTGGAGCTCACACCACCATTTTTAGTTGTTATTTATCCTGCAGTAAAGAAAAGCCAGACCTCACTGCCAGGCTTCACAAAGGCCAGATTGATGATGCCGACATCGACAAATGAACATACCATGGCAGCTTGGTCATTCGGCTCAGGTTCACTTCAAGTTCAAATCCACTCTATGCCGTAGTGCTGTGCCCATCTCATCCATCTTTTGTCTTTCTATTTTTCTGCTTGTAATTTGTTCTGTAGTTTTCTGTGACATCCGTTTATAGCTTCTCCTGTGGCTCAGTGGTCACAGCAGGTAGGCAGGAGCTATCTGCAGCAGTGCGTTCCTCATAGCTTTGGGATGAGAGCTGACCTGGCTGTTCATGGTGGAGGAATGGGGGCTGCGGACTAGCACAGGGTACAGCACGGTCTGCAGAGCTGCAGGGCAGTGCCTGCCACTGGGAGATTGAGACAGCTGCCAGGAGTCCCTCCTGGACCCTCCTCTTCCCATGAGGGCAGCGGGGGCTCAGCAAGGAGCAGGTTCTGAGAGCCACCGAGCCCCACAGTCTGTGCCACACTCCCTGGGTATGTCTGGGAAAGTGGGTGCAGAGCTTCAAGCCCATTATGTAAGAGAGAATCAGTGCTTTAGTATTTGTACCAACTGCTGGGTTTGCTCAGCCTTCTTGGAGAAAACAAGCTCAGCTTACTCTGCAGTGACCTACAGGAAACACTGGATACTTAAAACACTGGCAGGATACGTGGCTGGGACAGGCATCTACATCTTCAGGATATATTTGTATACTTACTTCTCCCTCTCTAACACTGGGCCAGCAAAGCTGCTTCAGGACTCGCCTGCCAAGAACCTTGAGAGATGAGTTTGCTCTCCATGGTGTGGTCCTGCACCACGGCGCTGCAGAGAGAGCCTGTTTGAAATGCAGAGACAGGACAGATGCAGTTCCTGTGGGGCAAACATAGTGAAGGTGTTCTGAAAAAAGAGCTGCACCTGCTGAGAGCCAGCTGAGCTCTCAGCCCTGCTAGCCACAGGCTGGAAAACTGGGTGATTCCAAAAGGGAGAGGGCTCAGAGCCAGTGCTTGAAGGCACAGTGAGACACTGTGCAGGGTGGTTGACTGTGTCAACTTCTCAGCCCACTGATCAGAGGAAGCTTTTTTTATTGCACTGCTCATTTCCTGAGACCAGGGGTGTCAGGTCAGCATTTCCACTGCAAGGTTTTACTGGCTGCTCCGTAACTTTTGTACTCATGGCAGCAAGGCTGGTCCTTGCATCCTTACAGTGAGTCCTCCATGCTGGCACATGCCATGGCCAGAACCAGCATCTCTGCATCTCCTTCCCTGTCCAAGAGGTGACTGTGGAAGAATTGGCCCAGGCAGGAAATGTTCAGGGAGTCTGATGTGGATGTTGTCTGGCTGTGGAGAAGCCTTCTGGAGCATAAGGGGAGGGGAGGAGTTAGTGAAAAGCAACAGAAGTGAATTTGCAGAGCTTTACCAGATGTTCTTGGCTACCTTGCCTGAATTTGTAGAACAAAACTGGTCTCTAGGTAGTTTAAGCTTGTGGCTGATGGAGAATTTAGTTTGCCAAATTATTACACATCTGCAACAGAGACAGAAAAGCAGCAGTGAGGGGTTTGCTTACTGTAAAATACGCCTTCTGATGTGAATTCCTAGTGACACGCTGCCTCCTGGATTCCTCACGGCAAGAAGCCACTTGTGCCGGGGTGACTCGTGGCCATCCAGGCCAGGCTGTGCTGTCTGCTGTGTTGATCATGGAAAGGCAAGAAGTTAGTCCAGAAAGTGATGTAAAGTGTGAACTTCGTGATAAAATTAAAGTGTGAATAGTTGTAGCAGGTGTCTTCCCTTATGGGAGCACCTCATATCTGTAGTTCCATAGGAGTAAACAGTGTCAGACTTTTCCTGTGACTGTCATTGCGTGTCCCCACGGTGTTTGCTGAGGTTTCCTGGGAGCCTTCTGTGCAGTGGGAGGTTGTTGGTAGTCTGTAGCATTGGGCTTGTTTGGTTCCCACCCACCACTGCTCCCTTAGTGTCCTGAGCTCTCCAGACTGAACCCCATGCTGCCGAGCCTGGAGAACTCCTGTCCTGGGCACTGCACATGCCAGGTAGGTGCTAGTGGCAAGGGCATGCCTTGGCACCTCTTCTGTGGGGCCCTGGAACCTCCTGGCAGGAGGGAGAGTGGGACAGAGCCGGCCGGTGCTGTGCTGGCCCTCACCTCCCCAGGTGACTCTGGGTCTGTCTCCCCAGGTGTGCCCCTGGAGCCCCAGGAGCCTGGAGAGCTGCTCCTGCTGCTCCCAAAGGGCAGGCACACCTTGCACACCCACAAGATTACCTCAGCCTTGGAGCCTTGGCGAGAGCAGGAGCCCCTGGCAGCAGCGGGGCAGCCGGGGGCTCGGGCAGCCCAGCCTCAGCACCCGGGCTGAGCTGCAGGCGGGAGAGGCTGCTCCTCTGCTCACGAACCAGCTCTGTGAGGTGCTGCTCGGTTCATCCACCACAGGGAAACCAAACACTTGGGGTATTCTGGTCATTTGTTGTGAAATTGTTTCCTAACAGCAACAGGTTTAAATGTCATCGTACAAATGGCAGAGTGAAACCTTTTATGCAGTTGCAAAGTGGTTTTCTAAAATGGTTGGGTTACTGAAAGTGATTTTACTGTGCATTAATCTTATGAATGTTACTATGTTTTATATTTATTTTAGATGACCCTCCTGTATTTTACAAAGGGAAATTTCATTGTGTGATAACTCTGTCTGTATTCTTAATATAATTTGTTAAATGAAACTTGTTTTAATCAGATAAATCTGTGTGCTTTTGTGTTTTAATTTTCTGACTGAAACAACTACCTGGATTGGAAGAGTGAAATACAAATGTGGCAACACGATCTCCCATAGGGAACTTGCTCTTGTTTGTGGGCTTTTTTCATTGGAAATTGGATCTAAAAAGCCTCGGAACATGTGTCCAAAATGTCTTGCTCTACAGGTATGCTGCACAGTGAAAACAGTCGTGTTTCCTGGGGCAGGACTGGGTGAAGCCTGGCAGGAGCAGTCCTCAGCAGAGCAGTGGTGCTGGCAGTGCTGGGGGCAGCTCAGCCCGTGGCCACCCTGGGCTGGCACCTCGTGGCTGGGGCAGCAGCCCTGCGGGAAACGGGCTGCTCAGCCAGGGGGAGGCTAGCACTGCACTACACTGAAAATTGTTTTTCTTTGGGCTAAATTATTATTCTTCTGAACTTGACCCAAGCTAGCGGTGCACAATCTGACCTCTGGCATCTTCTCACCCCAGACAGTATTTCTGTCTCGCTTATTTTGAGTGCTCTTTGAATTAAGGGAGATTAATACCCAAGTTCCCGACATTCTCTTCAGGCATATGTTTTTATAACCTTTTGAAAGCAGTACCACTTGTTCCACAAAAAACTCAGAAGCAGCATCTTGTGGCTGCCGTGGGAGCTGTCACCGGCACCTGATTGAATGTCCTGCCTGGGGAGGAGGTGCCGTGGGGAAACATAAACCAGAGTGGGCCCAGCCCGTGCCAGCCTGGGGCAGCAGGCAGGCGTGGAGCCCACAGAGCCGGGGCTGTGCTGCTCCAGCATCTCTTCAGCTGCTGCCACGGGCGCTGGGCTCAGTCCTGTGGCACAGCACACCCTGGCAGTGCTGCCAGGCCTGGCCAGGAGAGCCCTCATCCCCCAGCACTGGGGCTGGAGCCGGCTTGCATCCATCATTCACAGAATTTGGTTTCTAAGGAAAATTTTTAATTTCTTTTGCTCCGTTTAAAGCAAAAACTCTCAAAAGCTCTCAAAGCTCTCCCACTTTGAGACGTGGGAGCAGTGGTTTCTCTCTGGAGAGGTGACTTGTGGCCCTTCCTGCTCCAAGGAAATCCTCCCAGTGCCTGAGGGGAGCAGCAGGCGCTGGGGCTGGGGGCGGCTGGCGCAGTCCCTGTGTCACCAGAGGGTTCTTTAGGGCTTTGTGAGCTGGTGGCTTTGGTGGTGTTTTGTTTTCTTTTCTCCTCTCCCTCCTACAGCTTTAAAAATTAACTTGCCTGGGGAGTTTCTCAAAATCCTTTCCTTTCTCTGGAATGATGGATAAGCCATGTAACTGATTGTCATGGCCCTAGGGAGGATAAACATCTTCTGCAGTTTAAAATAAAACCTCCTCGCTCCCTGGTTAATAAGTGTTGAAAGAAGCACAAACAGAGCTAACACAGGATTTCCATGACTAACAAGATGACCACATCAGTGGATGTTGTTTGGGGTTAAAAATGACTCAGCTTTTGCTTCCCCTGGGTAAGAAGTTTTATCCCAGTGCAGGAAAAGCTGCCAACAGCACTTTGAAGCTCAGGCAAACATGATGGAGCCAGAATTGTGAACTGGGAAGTGTTTGAATGCCGGGTTAAAAAAACCCTCATAAACTCTGCTCCATGTGTGTGGATTTCTGGAAGATAAAGGAGCCCACAGCTTCATCCAGCTTGTGCTGACTCTTTTCTTTTCAAAAGCCTTTTCAGATGTTTTCACTTTTCTGCTTGCTTTGTTGAAAGATGTAAAAATTTAAGACAACCACAAAGTAAACATTTCAAAACTTTCTAGTCTGAAAATTAGTGACATTTTCAAAATCCCTCAAATTCCATTTCAGCACTATCAGAAATGAAGATGTTTGGGTTTTTTTTGATTGGCAAATTTTCCAGGCAGGTCTTTGTTTATTGATAACTTTTTATTTTTCAAAGAAAATAGATTTACTATTCAGTAGAAACACTAGATAAGTAGATGTCTTGTCAAAATCAAGCAGGTTTTCTTTATTAGAGTGAAATAGTAATGAACTCATCTGCTTCCAATATTTATAAAGAGTAGGGAAGGCCATTAATTCTGCTGCTTGTGAATAAAACCATCTGTGATTTCTTTCCATTTGATGTGTTTTGGTTTTAATATACATTTTTCACAAATAAGTGTAGGGATTTTTTGTGAAAATGTCACATTCAGAATCTCATAAAGAAGGAACGCAAGGAGGGGGAAACGAAATGTTTTGTTAGCTCAGTAATTTCTCACCTTGCACAGAGAGTAAAATTCCTGCCAACTTTAACACATTAGGCGACAGAATTACATGTTCAGCTCTAATGCAATCCATGACAAGGAACAAGGCAAACAGAGGATGTTTGGAAGTTTGTTTTCCTTTGGGAATCACACAGCACATTTAACTTAATCTGTCCTGACACTTGAATTATAACATGAGCTTCTTTAGGGAAGCAGAATGGTAGATGCCTCTTTTTAAAGCAAAGCAGAAGTTAATAAAATGGGCAACATGTCGAGGAGAAAAAGCCCAAATGAACCATCATGCGATTCTCAGAGCAAATGGGCTCTGCTCTGGGGTTTTTCCACTAGAAATGCTGGAAATCTTGAGGCATCCTTCTGCTGAGGGTGAAATTTGACCTCTAGAATTTTACTGGATTAAAGCAAAAGCTACAAGAATGCCCCAAGTGAGACCACTTTGTAGTTGGACTTGTGAGTGTTCAATCTTAAATTAAACTGAGTATCCCTGCAGCTGCTCTGCCAGGATTTATTTCCCAATCTCCCCAGCAGCTCGTGCGTTGGAGACTGTGCTGTGCTGCAGCTGTACCTGTGTACCTGAGCTGTACCTGAGCTGTACCTGTGGGGGAAGGAGCTCCTCTGCTCCCAGCCACACAGCCCAAGCACCCCGGCCATTCTCTGGGGGCCTGCAATGGGAATGGGGCTGTCAGTGCCATCTGCTCCACTGCATGTTGCTTGGAAAGGTTGTCTCCAGTTACGGATTTTGAGGCCCAAATTTAATGTCCATGTCCAATAGGATCAAAGCAGATCCTTGGAGGTTCCTCTGAGTGAAGAAACCTGAAATCAGGTAGCAGATGTCCTCACCTGAAGCCCAGAACTCCAGGTGCTGCAGAGCAGGGCAGGTACTCTCCTGAGGAGGGAAAGGCAATGCCAGTTTTATCACAGAAAACATTTTTAAGCTGGTTGTTTCTCTACTACCTGTTGGCAGAGTTAGGAGAAGGCTGTGCTCTTCTCCTGGGGGAGTTTTCACACCTATGCCAGGCAAGTAAGTCTGCTCACTGGTTTACTTGTATTTTATAGTATTTGTCATTTGTAATTTATCATTTAATCTGCTGTTGAACAACAAAGATACTGATCTGTCCCAAACTTTTTTTTTTTCACCAAATTGAACAACACTGTCAGCTGAACAAAAAACAAAATCTGATTTTCATTCTTTAAAAAGCTCAACCAAGTGGTTTTCAAGCAGAGGGCTTGGGCCAGGTTTGGGTGGGTTTGCACAGGTTCCACACTGCTGGTCTGGGCTCAGCCCCACAGTGGGTGCTGGGGAGGGATGCTCTGCCCCAGCCATGGACCCTCTGTGGGTCCCCGCTGAGACAGAAGCATCTAAATGGGGCTTCAAATGGTAACAAGGAAAACCCACACTGCATATCAAGAAAACTTCCTGAAAGGGAAGCAGGTGAGGCCTGGGAGGTTGGAGAGTCTCCATCAGTCTTTGCCAAATCCACGCTGGGAGGGGGAGTGAGGCTGGAGCTCCGCAGTGTCCGTGAGTGGATCCTCCTTCCCCTGGCTCTGCCCTTCCTCAGGGAGCGCCCGTGACTGTTCCCACGGTCATGGCACAGGGCTGGGCTTTGGGTTGTTCGGGTTTGCTGGGGGAGGGGGGCTCCAAGGCTACTGAAGTGTCAAGAAACGGAGCCCAGGAAGCCGTAATGCTGTGAGGTCATTTCAGCTGAATCCCCGGCAGGGAAGTGCTCCCGCCAGGAGTGTTTGACCACGGTCCTTATTCAAACACAAGGCAAGAAGCCCATGGGGTTATTTCCTGTTGCGTGTCTCAGGAGCATGACAGGAGTTGATTTGGGATGCATCAGGCAAAAAGCAGAGGCAAGGGTTGAGCAGAGTGGGGAGGGAGAGCAGGGGTGACCAGGACAGCCCTGTGCCAGAGATGTGGTGGTGACTATTCTGTAGTGACAAATGAGTTCCCCCTGCTCAGGGCAAAGCTGTCGTGTCCATGGGCTGGGCCAAGGGCTGGCAAAACCCTGGAGTACCAACTTGGGCATAAATGAGGAACAGTTTCATGAGCTCTGGAGGCCACAGGGGCGGCTTCCTGTGACTGACTTCTCTGGATTACACAAAATTTCCTGCTTTTCCCACCGGCACATAACCCTGTTCCCACAGTCCCCAGCAAGGACCTGTCATGGGTGGCAGAAGCCAGTCAATGGACTCAAAAGCCCTTAATGCAAGCATTTTCCCTGTTCTAACTCTAAATTCCTTTTTCTGTCCAAATTCCTACTCATATGAACCTTTTAGGAACTTAATTATCCTTGAGACTTCTACCTCTTTGTGAAATCTGGTTTAAATCAGTAAAGAAAAGAGTTCAAAGTTATTGGGCAGGACAGGCAGACAGACAAGCACACAGGGATCACAGGAACCTTGTTTTCATAGGAAACTAGATTAAAAAAATCCCACAACAGTTACCAGCCCCTTTGGTGGCACGCCTGCCTCGGGCCTGCTCAGGGCGATGGTCGGGGCTGCTGGGGCACAGGCAGCTGGGATTGTGCTCCTTTTGGGGTGCTGGGGCACAGGCAGCTGGGATTGTGCTCCTTTTGGGGTGCTGGGGCACAGGCAGCTGGGATTGTGCTCTTTGGGAGGGCAGGGGCTGGTTGCTGATCCTGCCTCCTCCAGCCGGGCTTGGCTGGGCAGTGGTGCTGGCAGCAGCGATTCTGCAGCCTGTCTGCTTCTCCCAGCTGGATGCAGATTCATGACATCCCTGCTCGCTTTGGCATGCAAACCTG